AAGGGGGGGGGGGGGGGGGGGGGGGGCAGGGCAGGGAGCCACAAGTCAAATCTTCCCATCTTTAGGAAAAACAAAAAAAGAAGAGGTGAAAAAGCAAAATCCTGTTTACAGTTAGAAGGATGGTGCTCTTCGCCTCGGCCGCATTTCTTTGCTTTTGCCGTGTTTACAGCGTGTTGCAAATTCAGAGAAGCCTCGAAAAAAACAAAAAACAAAAATTGGAACGAAATGGAAACGAGAGCGAGAAGCTTTGTTCTTGCTTATCTGCTGTTGCTGGATGCTTTTCATGGGGCACGATCCTGGGATCCTTCTTCTGTATCTGAACAGCATACCTTGGTATCCGGCGAAGGCTGTGGGATGCCTTAATGTGCTTTTTCATGCTGCCGTTCTCCGCTACATTTGCCCCAGCCCCTGTAATCAGTAAGGATGGTTGACTTTCATGGCAACTGTGGGTACTCTTTGGGTTTTTTTCCAGATGAGGCCCAGGATCCCCCAGTGGGGGTGGACATCAGGCGTTAACCTGACACCAGGCTTGCGGTGAAAAATCTATTGTCTGCCTATTAGCCAAAGAGCATTTACTAAGCTGGTCTTAGGAGCTAGACCCTGCAGTTGTGCTTTGGAGAACAATTAGCTGGGAATGCGACGAGATACGCATTGCATTCCTCCTCCTCTCACGAGCACAAAAGCCGTTCTCATGCTAAAGACAAGGCATTCAGAATGGAGAAAATCAGACCCCACTAGCTTACTGTGAAACTCCTAATCTCATGGCCCTCTTTGGATGGCAGGCTAGGAGATTTCCGATGATCTCATTAAGCCCCACTGAGCTGTGTTTCCATCTCACCTTCTTTTCAGGATCCCGGGGAGGGGGGTGGGAAGGAGGAGGGGGTTTGATCAGGTTACATCATGCACCAAATTCTTTTCTTCTGTTCCTTGCTTTGTGATTTACAAGCAAAAGCAGCAGAGAGAAAGAATAGGAGAGGAGATTACAGCTCAGGTGGAATTCTGAAGTCTTTTTTTTAAAAAAGCCCATTTTTTGGCTGGTGCTAGGGGGAACAAAATCTTAAGTGGTTGTTTTGATTACAGATGGGGGGGAAAAATAACCAGGCTGATTCAGTCCTATTTTACTTAGGACCAAGAATGGGATTTCAGTCGAGGAAAGGAATTTCCGTTGATCAGAGTTTACGAGCTACGCTGAATTTTGAAAATATGTAAATATATGTACCTGTGCGCACACAGGCATGCACGTATGTACAGAGCGATTACTAAAATGAAATGGATATGGATGTGTCAGGCTCAGTTATATTAATGAGAAAAATAAAATGTGGACTCAATCAGCGAAGCGCCCAAGTAATGGAGCTTTCCTGATCCACATTCCCTCCAGAATAAATATTTGATTACTTGCCACGAGAGATGCTGAATTAAGTGCATGTTGACTCTACTCAGTCTCCTCTATCTCACGCTGCCCTGGAGGGTTGGAATCAACAACCAAGACCGCCAGGTTTTTAATCGTTTTTATGTCGTAGGGTAGGCACAAAGTAACTAAAGGTTTGGGTTGTTTTTTTTTTGGGGGGGGGGGGGGGTTTT